TATTCATTTCAGTGATGGAGATTCGGATAAGGAGTTCGGATTTAATGTCGTATTGAATGTAAATATTAATTGCAGAGATCTCTGTATTGTTGAATTTATAAAGGCAAATTTAGAGTACCAAACATTTAACATTTAAAGTAGTCTTATGAAAGTTTTGTAATGAATTTGCTTGTATTTGCATATTGATGTGGGTGTTCCAAGGAATTCATTAAAATATAGATTTCCTAGAATCAAGCTTATTTCTTGGTGACTAGAGAGTGCCCATATTGTTCTCTTGGTGAGAGCTTAGAATTAATTTGTCCCTAGTGGATTTTTTTTTTTTTAACTTTCAGGTCTAACCAATGATCATGTGTTTCCTGATGATCTCCTATCTAATTTAATACAGCCCCTGTATTAAATACTTAGATTTTTGGAATCAGCGAATTCAGCTAGGCAAGGCCATCTTCTGCAGGGAGAGCTGCAAGCATTTAGTTATTTTAAGTTGGCTGTTGATATCAACAGTATCATATGACAGAGGTATTAAACTTTCAAAAAGAAAATATTCATGTGAAATATTGATTCTTGTGGGTATAAAGAGAAATCTAGAAGGCACATATAAAATATTTATGAATACATTTGCCTTTTTGAGAGACAAAGTATCTGTCCCACTTCTTTTACCTAAACTGCTGCAGAAGTCATAGTTTGGATTTACTACATTAATCAATAAGGCAAAGGAGCCATTGGTCACCACACCAATTAATTTGAATTTCATTTTGGTAATAACCCTTGCAACACATTCATTATTTGACTCAGACACTACTAGAATATTGACAATAGATGTCAGCCAACACTTACTGATACATTTATTTGTTATAACATAAAACCACTATAATTATGGGTCTTTTTCTTACTTCTTACCTGAATTGATTAATTGCTTTAATTGCTTCCCATTTTAAATGCGTTATTAAGCCTTTTATGCATGTTGCATTTGTCTTTTAAACAATAAGTAAAAGGATATCATGGAAGTCATTGCACAATTATTTGCATAGTGTGGATTAAATAAACGTTTTTGAGCAGACTTGTATTTTGTACAGTGCAAAGAAATAGGCAAAATTTTCTATCATTCTCTTTTTATTTTCTATATGCAACAGGAAATTAAAAATGTGGATTTATATTTCAAAATAGCTAAGCTGTTCACGAAATCAACAGCAACAGACGTTTTTCTAAAACTTGGCAGCAGCTCAAAACTTATTGTTGTATTCTTAATCTTTAGCAATAACAGTAATGATTCAATAATTATCAGTAGTTAATAGGTAGAATTGGTGCACATTGATCAAATCATACAATACATAAAATACATATATTGAATTTAACATATGTATGTATGTATAAGCTTTGACTTTCAGTGTAATTGCCTCATATTTTCATTTTATAAATGTGACAACACTGTTTGATTCTGTTATTTTTTATCGTATAAGCACTGGAAACTGTAGGAGATTGCAGAAAATAGAGGTATAAAAATCTTCACATAACAACAACTGGAAGAGGACAAAGACAATGCAAATATTTTATGAACAAAATAAATTCAGTTAATTTAAAAATGAAGACATGTATTTATTGCTTAATAAATACATGTCTTGTTCGAATATTGAATATTGTTCAGTATAAGAAAAGAATGGCTTAAATAAAATATATGTTTCAAAATATGCCACATTGGCAATACATAAATAAAAGTACAGATGTAGTTCAGCAGTTGTACTTGACTTTTAATGACAACTCTCATTGGAATAGCATAAGTAAATTTACATTGACATTGATGGCAAAACAATACACTATTTAATTTTGCATACGGCTTCAAACTGTTAAATGTGCCCGATTTATTATGTTTTACTGATAACTATTAACAATGCCATAGAAAGTTCTGCTTTTGATCGTGTTAGGTTTGCTTCTCCTTTAATGCCACATAAGTTGAAATTTAAGTTTTCAATGGTTCAATTAACCAGCAATTGTCTGGTTAAATGTTCTCACTGTTAGGAAATTACTCCTTAATTCTCCTTGATTAGTTTTCATCCATTGTTTCTTTGTCTCTGTTGTGCTTTGGAAAATAAGTTGACTCCCTCTTATTTGTGACAGCCCCTCAAATACTGGAATACTGTTATCATGTCATCCCTAGTCTTTCTTTTCTCTAGACTGGCCAGATCCATTCCTGCACATTTCTCACTGTTAGGAAGTTTCTCCTTAGTTCCAGGTTGCTTCTGTCCTTGATTAGTTTCCATCCATTGTTTTTTGTCCTGCCTATAGGTAAATAAGTTGATCCCCTCTTTTTTGTGGCAACCTCTAAAATACTGGAATAGTGCTATCATGTCACCCCTAGCCTTTCTTTTCTCTAAACTTGCCAAACCCAAATCCTGCAACCATAATACGTTTTTGTCTCCAAGCTGTTAATCATCTTAGCTGCTCTTCTTTGCACTTTTTCCAAAGTCTCACCATCTTTTTTGTAATGTGGTGACCAAAACTGAATGCAATATTCCTGGTGTGGTCTTACTATTTATAAAGCAGTACTAATACGTCACATGATGTTGACTCTATGCCTCTGTTTATACAATCAAGGATTGTATTAGCTTTTTTGGCTGCTGCTACACACTGCTGATTCATGTTTAAGTGATTGTCCACTCGGACTCCCAAGGTCCCTCTCCCAGCTACTGTTTTTGAACCATACCTAATACCAAATACCTAATCTGTATTCGTACCTTTGGTCTTTCTTGCCTAGATATAAAACCTTGCTTTTCTACACATCAATTTCATGTTATTGGATAGGGCCCATTGTTCAAGTCTGTCAAGATCTTTTCTGGATCCTGAGGTTGTCTTCTGGGGTGTTGACTCTTCCTGCCAGTTTAGTGTCATCTGAAAATTTGATGAGTTCCCTTTCCATTCCCTCATCTAAGTCATTTATGAAGACATTGGCCTAAGATGGAACCTTGTGGTACCCCACTGCTTACTTCCCTCCATGTAGACGTAGTACCATTAGGGGCTACTCATTGAGTACAGTTTGTCAGCCAGTTACAAAGCCACCTGGTAGTGATTCTATCTATCCCACATTTTTCTACTTTACCAAGAAGTTGGTTGTAATCTACTTTGTTGAAAAGCTTGCTGAAGTCTAAGTATACTATGTCCTCAGCATTTTGCTAGTCTACTAATTTATAGTCAAAGAATGAAATAAGATTGTTTTGGCATGATCTGTTTTTAATAAACCTATGCTGGTTACTAGTTATAACTTTCTTTGTTTCTAGATGTTCACAGATCTAGGTTTTTTTAAAATTACTTTTTTCCAGTATCTTCCCAGGTATTGATTTTAGGCTGATTGGTCTGGAGCTTTCTGGGTATGTCACCCCCCCCCCTTTTTTTTTTTTTTGAAGATGAGAACCACATCAGTTTTTTTCTAGTCCTCAGGTAGTTCCCTGGTGCTCCAGGATTTTATAAAGATATGGTACATATATGGTGAGATAACATCTGCTAGCTCCTTCAAAACTCTGGGATGTAATTCATCAGGTTCTGGTGAATTATATTCATCAAGATGAGACAGGTATTTTCTTATCATTTTCTTGTTTTTATTTTTATTTCTAGTTTGTCTTTTTCAGTTATGTTTTTGGTAGGCTGGACTATAGTTTCTTTTTGAATGAAGACTGATGCAAAGACTGAGTTAAGCAGCTCTACTTTCTCTCTACTTCCTGTTACTTCCTTGCCATCTTCTATCTTTAGTGGACCGACTGTTTCCTTGATTTTATTCTTATTATTTATATGTTAAAAGTTTTTTTACCTTTGACTTTTGTGCAATCATGCTGGTTTCTTCTTGGATTTCTTGTATTGCTTTTTCAGTGGTATTGTGTTGGTCTGGGTTTTTATGTTAATATTTTTCAGACTTTTCCACACTTCTTGAGTTGTTTTCCCCTTTAGGATTTTTATCAATGGAATTTTTCTTAAACTCTCTGAGTTTGTTACATTTTAGCTGTACTATTAAATGCAGGTTGGCCTGAAAAAATGCTTTGGTCATTCAAGATTTAATAAGAGATGGGTGAGCTAGTCTCTGGATCTAGCTGGATCCAAAAGAAGGTTTCTCTATTGGAAATGTGCTGACCTGGTTTTCAAGTGTGATGTGCCTTTCCCGAGTGGTTTGGATGGCCCATAGTCTCTTGGTCTCTCCTAAATCCTTAAAAAACTGGCTTTTCCCAGAGTGTTAGAGAAGCCTGTTTTTCATGATTTATCTGAATGATTGCAGTTAGCTTCAGCTGTTTTCTTTTTTTGGCGGGGGGGGGATATTTTTTTGCTTACCTCTTTTTAATCTGACTTTAGCCACCCAGCGTCTTAATATGTGAATTGAGCAACTACTTATATAAGTGTCTTAAATAAATACAATTCAGGTATTGTTTCCATATATTTTTTCCTTCTCTCTGTTCCATGTGAGAGCTCGAATGCATACTAGAATGATAATATTGCTCCGAATATTGTGATCCTTAGTAGACAATTTGAAACATCCTAGTGATCAATGTAGTTGAAGATGTCAGTGTACTACGATGGTAGAGAAGTTGTAAAAATATAGAAGCTTGGGAATCTGCATATTCTTATTTCATAAACCTGATAAGCTAATACTAGTAATACAAGTATGTGATTCTTGGGTAAGGCAGGTGATTTCATTTCAGCACATACCTGTATCTTCAAAGCCATTGAATAATGTTGTTCACAGACAAAATACATAATTACATCTTTCACACTGTTACTCTTGATACCTTAGTATCAAAAGCTTAGGCTTTAAAATCCAACATGTTTACAAGCAGTGTGAACTGAAAAAATAAAAGTATATATTTAAAAAGAAGTTATCCCACAAAATTATTCCCAAGTGTCTCAACAATGCATTGAGTTTAAAGCAAATCATTATCATTTATTGGTCATTACATATCATTAATCATAACAGAATAAATATTTTGCTTCTGTTTAATTTGATTCTTTTGTTTCTTAATCTTCAGTGTCTTGTGTTTGAAGATGCTCCCAATGGAGTGAAGGCATCACTGAAGGCTGGTATGCAAGTAATCATGATTCCAGATGAAAACTTGAACAAAGATCTTACAAAAGAAGCAACTTTAGTGCTGGGGTCCATGAGTGATTTCAAGCCAGAATTGTTTGGTCTACCACCATTTGATTGAACATTTTTTTTTAATTAATTTAGTATTTTTTTAAAAAAAACATAGTTTTTTTCTTTTTCTTTATAGTATTGTTTCATTATTTACACTTCAGCTTAATTCAGAATTAAAATCAGAATTAAAATCACAGAATTAAAATGTATTTGAAGCCTAAGAGGTTTTTAGATTATGAAAAAAAGAAATGCTCTTTTTCATATTTGTTTTCAAAAAATCAACTAATAGCTCTCCTAAATGTTCTCATTACTTCTTCCATCATTTTTATCTTCAGAAAAATTCTATAAAGAAAATTTTCTCTGTTGTTTTTTTTTTTTTTTGATTGGTAATCACCAGAAATAGTCATGCAGAACTATACCGTGTTTCCCCAAAAATAAGACATCCCCTGATAATAAGCCCAATCGGGCTTTTCAGCGCATGCACATCCCCCCAAAATAAGCCCCCCACCAACTACTTATATGCATGTGCAGCCAGACCTGCCATTTCCTCTGGTTGCTTTCCGCGCAAACAACATAAAGTGAGGCGATGCTGGAAAAGGGGCGAAAGGAGAGGAACATGCTGCACACACCCCACATGTCCTTACCGTATCTACCGGTAGCGCTGATGGCCACCGCAAAAAGAGTGGTAGGCCAGCGACGCATCTCGTGCCCGGTAACTGGTAACACTGATGGCTGCCACAAAAAGAACAGCAGGCCAGCAATGTGCTTTGCGCCCCATTCCTTACCAGTACCTACCACCGCTTCCAACAAAAATGAGAGAGAGAATGGAGAAAGAGAAAGGAAAAGAAAGAAAGAAAGAAAAAGAAAGAAAGAAAGAAAGGGAGAGGAAAAAGTGAGAAACAGAAATGAGAGGGAGGGAGGGAAAGAGAGATCCATTTCCCACACAAAGGGAAACCACAATTGCAATCTCTAAACCCCCACACAGGGAAACACAATGCCAAATCCCAACTCCCACAGCCCCAGGGTTTTGGATTAATGGATTTAATGATCTAAAATGACTTTTATTTTGACCCCCAGACAATATGAGTTCAAAAAGAAAGAGCTACTCCATGGAATTCAAGAAAGGAATAGTGAAAGATTCTCAGGGCAAGAATCTGGCAGCTTTCTGCAAAGAGAAGATGTTGGATCTACGTATGGTCCGAAATGGAGAGTAGAGTACAATAATCTCAGTTAAGAAGGGAAATGACAAAAAGTGCAGGTGTGGATCAGATTGGCAACCATTATTTCCTGAACTTGAAGACACTATCTCTGAATGGATCGCTGACAGGAGAGCAAAGGCTTTAGTTGTACACAGGGCTAATATTCAGGCATTTGCCCTTGAAATGGCACCACAATTACAAATTTCCAAGGAACAATTCAAAGCCTCTCAACACTGGCTGGATAGCTTCCTTCAGCGACATGAACTGTCTCTGAGGAGATCCACCTCGCTGTTCAAGCTGGAAGATGAACTTGTCAAACGGGCACTTGCATTCAAGTTGTTCGTTGATAGCATTGATTTTGCCAAGTATCAGCTATCGAACATTATCACTATGGATGAAACAGCAGTCTTTATGGGCCAAGGGGCTCAAACCACCATTGACCAGAGGGGTGCCACATCAATTTATATTCCCTCCATGGGATAGGAAAGCGCATGTGTGACGTGCATATTGGCTATTCGGATGCATGGAACCAAAGTCACACTGCTAATAATAAGCAAGGGAAAGAAGGACAAAATCAAAAGGGTTTCAGGGATTTACGTCCTTGAAACCGAAAAGGCCTGGTGCACCCAAGCAGCTATCAGGAAGTGGGTGGAGCTAATGCTCCCACTTGTTGTGCGAGGTGGCCAAAGAGGCATAGTGGTATGGGATTTAGCCAGCACTCACCGTGCCAAGGATATGAAAAAATTTCTTACTCAATGCAGGATCGATCAAATTATGATTCCTGCAGGAATGATTGCTACCTGCAGACATTGGATATCAATATTAATAAGCCGTTTAAGGACCATCTCCACATGCAAATAAATCAATACATAGAACACGGAATGATAAGAAACCAGAGAGGTAATTTTATGAAGACTGGCCTGCCAGAATTCATCAATTGGGTGAAGAATGCCTAGGAAAAAATAAGTGATGACTGTGTTGCAAATGCAATAAGAGCAGGCTACATAGACAGGAGGTACTCTTTTAAGGAGACCGCTATTGCTAAGCATGAGCAATTGGGACCAATGGTGTTGAGCAAAATGAAACATTAAAAGAAACATAGGATGGAATTCAGGATGTGGACAGTTTTGATGATGTTGTGGAAAAAGATGATATGACTACCATATTGGAATAAATTGTTGAGTTTGAAAAAATTGTTGAATTTGAAAAAATCAATGAATTTTAATATGGTAAATTGTTGAATTTGAATAAATTGTTGTACCATACATGAGCATTGTGGTTTCCCTGTGTGTGAGTTCAGGGTTTGCAATTGTGGTTTCCTTGTGTGTGGGAAATGGGTCTCTCTTTCCCTCCCTCCCTCCCACTCATTTCTGTTTCTCCTTTTCCTCTCTCTCATCCCCTCCCTCTCTTTCTTTCTTTTCTTTCTCTCTCTCATTCTCTTTCTCGTTTGTTTTGAGTCTCACAAAGACTAATTTCTGGCATCTTTTATCAAGGCGGGTGGCAGGTGGGGGCATGGAGTGAGATGTGGCATCTCTTGCTGTCTCTTCTTCCCCCCACCAGGCATGGCAGGGTTTCTTGCCTCTCGCTTATCCACCCGCCCCCTTTAGGGATTCAATTTGGGGGTGGCAGGTGGGGTGGGTGAGAAACGTGTCCAGGGCAACATATAAAAAAAAACTTTATTGAACTCGTGAGGAGGGGTTTTTTTTACAACATGTTTCCCTGGACACAACGCCCGCGTCCCGCTTCTCGCCCGTCCTACCTGCCATCCCAAATTGCATCCCTAAAGGGGGCGAGTGGCTAAGCAAGGGGCAGGAGCCCTGCCATGCCCAGCGAGGAGTGGGAGAAGAAACAGCAAGGGGAACCACGTCTTGCTCCACGCATCTCGCTTCTCCCCTGCCCCACCTGCCATCTCTCTCAATAAAGAGACAGCGGGGAAGGGAAGCAGCCAGGCTGCTGTTGCCATTGGGGTGAAGTGGGACGTATTGGGCTGCGAGATGTGCATCACCTTTCTAGCTCCGTCACGTTCTTCACCGTTGTGTCCAAGAAAACACATTGTAAAAGGAAACTTCTTGCGAGTTCAAAATTCTCGAACTTGCGAAGTTTTCTTTTACAACATGTTTCCTTGGACACAACGGTGAGAAACGCGATGGAGCTGGAAACATAAGACGTGCATCCTGCTTCTTACCCGACCCACTTGCCACCCCCAAATTGCATCCCTAAAGGGGGCAGGTGGCTAAGCAAGTTGCAGGAGCCTTGCCATGCCCAGCGAGGGGGGAGAGAGATGGCAAGGGGAGCCACGTCTCGCTCCACGTGTTTCGCTTCTTCTCCGCCCCACATGCCAGAAATGAGTCTTTGTGAGACTCGTCGCGCCCCCACCGCTGCAAGACTTGTGCCATTGCACGCACAAATGGCAGCACTGCCACTGGGTTTGACATATCGGCACAGCCGTGAGCGGCAGGACAACAGCTGTGCTGGTATGATGAAGCTCACGGCGGTGCAGCAACAGCACAACAAGCCTTGCAGAGTCCTGCTCCACAAGGCGGCGGCGGGACATGTCAGGACAGCGCCAGCCAGCCTCTCGGCTGGCGCGAAGAACGGAGGGGAGGCGATAGTGGCGACGGGACATCCAGTCCCATGCTCACCACCTCCTGCGCCCCCAAAATAATAAGCCCCCCCCCCGATAATAAGGCCAAGCCTTTATTTCGGGGTTCAAAAGAAAATAAGACAGCGTCTTATTTTTGGGTAAACACGGTATTTAAATCACTTTGGGTGGACTTTATTACAAGATTCTACCACCAGTGATAAAATTATCTTTGAATTTATGTGTAAAGTTCTTTGACCATCTAAATAGGAGGGCTTTAGCTCTGTTTTCAACATCTTTTACGTAGTTGTCTGTGTTTAGCTGAATGTGAAACATGTAGTTGAAAATATTGCACAAATAATAATTTGTTGTATAATCTGAATTCATGCATCATGGTAAAACGGTGGGCAACCTATTATCTCAGAGCCATCTATGGCTCAAAAGCTCTTTGTTATAATCCTCAGAAAGTTTTTTGTGACCAAGAATTGCACACAAATAATAACGCCACAGTTATCAATAATAATGGCATAATATATTACTATTTATTTGGTGAGATATGTAGGAAAGCTATAATGTATGTTCTAAAATAGGTATAACAGGGTTAATGAAAAATACATAACCCTCCTGTAAATTTATTGACCTAACATTGCATAAACCTGGCACAGTTCAAATGAAATTTTGGAAAAGTTTCCAGCTGTGTTCTATGTCATAAATCACAACTTACATCGAACATAGTTTTTGTTTACCCAAGCTAAAAACCAAGCAAACCATCTCACGGCTTAGTGCTATGTGTGAACCCAATCATGTATTCCAAAATATTTATTTACCTAAATCCATCCAGGAAATAAATCACATCACTGTAGGGAATGACTTATTTTTTTTTCCTTTATACATTCTTTAAGGATAATTATTTTAATGGAAAAATTATAAATGTATCTGGAATAATTTGGGATTTTTGTATTAAAAAGATGAGCATTTCTATAACTCTACAACATTTCAGCAGAGAATTTCAGCAGAGAGATTTTAAGCTGCACAATCAAATGTATATCTTATTACCTCCCTCCCCCCCATGTATGGTCTTTTGCTGTTGGATGTTTTCTTTTTCCCAAGCTTTTGCCCTTTTGTCTTTCTTTTCAAAGCCAATTATAAATACATCTTCCAGCTTTGGGGAAACCTTTGCTCTTGAAAACTACTAAATATCACAAACAATATTTCTTCTCTTCTTCAACTTACCTTCTTGCTTGATTAACCTCATCTGATGAAGTCATGACTGCAGCTTACTAGATACTGTTTCCTTTGCTGCATATTGTCTATTTTCAATGTCTATTGTCTTATGTCCAGAAAAAAACAGTAACTGCATACTGTTACTGTTACTATGCATACTTCTCACTATGAAAGTAGTTACTATGCATACTTCTCACTATGAAAGTAGAAGTCTGTGTACTTAACAGACATACTGCTGAAATCTGGTGCAGGGGAAAAAACCGTTTGGAGGTTGAAATTATGTACATATGGTGCCTTTATTTTGTGTGGCATTATTTATGGAATTTACAGAAAATTGTTTTGAATGTTAAGGACATTAGGAATATCCTGCTATACCTTTTTCAAAATTCATCAAATGATACATATTTGTAGATTTATTAAAAGAATGGTAGATTATAAATATATGCATGTCTGAATGCTGTAAATTAAAATGCTTTGCTATAATTAATTAAAATAAAACTTTATCTCCATGTCCTGAAACATCACTGTTTAGTGTACCAAAGCTTCTGTTTATGTGTGTGTGTTTAAAAAAATCAATTGTTCATTGTTCACTATTCTTAAAATAACTAGGATTACAATATGACTGTGAGCATATATAGCTGAGATTTATGGTCAGGTTAACCTACTGCAGTGGTTCTAAAGCTGTAATCCATGGACCCCTAGAGGGTACAGTGTCATCACAGGGCATCCACAAAGGCTTGAAGAAAAGTTATGATTTAAATATTGAGTTAAGTCTTGGTGGTCCATGGCCACAAAAGGTATTTAAATGGGATCTATGGTGAAGAAAAGGTTGAGAACCAGGCCACTGACCACTTTGGTTAGACCAAAGTGACTTTTTATAACTAGCATTCAAAAGATGGTATTCATTCTGTAATTATTTCTATTTCCTAAATATTTGTTTAATAGTAATACTTTATTACTATTCTCACAAATGTAGTTTGTGTTATGCCCAAGTTTTCTTTTTTGTATTATCTATTGAATTGCTCTTCTACAGATGACATAACTAAATGTTAAATTTTTCTCTACAATTTAATAACTCTATGAATTCAGGTAACTTTCTTCATTTTAGCAAATCCCATAATTATTAGCTATTTTTTGCATCATACACATGGTGCTGGATAAATTATTTCCTAATTGTACCTTTTCCTTATAATGCCAGAATGGAAAAGAACTCTGTTTGATAATCATATTAAAGAAAGCATATACTAAGGACTGCATAACAGACACTCAAAACAGACAGGATTATTTTTGCCCATTATATGAGGATTGCTTGCATTTCTTTAATAAAAACTCTTTAATAAAAAACATGGGTTTTGTATTTGCACAATTGCTTATTTAGAAAAATGTTTTTGTCACCCCCAAATCAGTACTCGTGGCACTGTTGTGCTTATTTGAGGACATGCAGAGCAATAAAACATTACAATCATCCAACCTGCACTTTTCCGGTTAAGGTTTCAGCATTTGCTAATTCAGTATTCAAGGCATTTTCACAGAATGAAACTACCATTAATAATGAGAATTGCCTACATGAAATGTTCAAACCATAGAGAACTCAGAATTAGCTCCTTGCTTCATTGTTTTTCTTTATCTGGGCCACAAGGGTAGAAGGGATCATAATCCATGTGGTATAAGCATTGTCCAATGGGTTATTTTAAAATATTTTGGGAAATATTTAAAATCCCCCATAGGATAAAATTAGAGAACATGTTGTGTATGAAATAGAGAAACACAACAAAGCCCTCAACAAAATCCTTTATCTTCTGAAATAAACTCCCTGACAGCTCAACCAGCCCACATTAACAGAATACAAAAGTGCTAATCTTTCAACAATGTTAGTACTTATTTTAGCAGTTTTAGCAATAGCGCTGACTATTCATCTGGAAAGAATATTTGAAATTCGGCTAGTGAAAATCGTATCCTGGTCTCTATGTGAGGGTGGGTGTTTTTGGTTTCTTGGCTTTCTTTTCCAAAAATAAAATAATTTTGCTCCAAATTCTGTCCTACATATGACTTATATTATAGCACTTGTATCACAACAGGAAAAAAAACTAATAATTTTTTTTCCTCCAATGCTGCAGACTCACCCATCAAGCAAAAACAATCATTCTGAATAATAACCTCTGTGTAGCTAAAATGTGAATCAACTTAAGTATATGTACATTCAAAGCCCAGGACAAGAGCTAAACTCACAGATAATCACACAGAAAAACAGGACCCTTTAAACATTTTTAAATTCACTCTGGAGGCCAAAAGCAACAGGTCAAAAGAGCATGCAAAGCAATTTGTTTCCTATTAACATACATCACACATTAACACTGCATATATTAAAGCAAAACTCTTTATTTTAATCCCATATATATATATATATATATATATATATATATATATATATATATGTGTGTGTGTGTGTGTGTGTGTGTGTGTGTGTGTGTGTATATATATATATATATATATATATGTAGGTCTTTGGTTATTCGGGTTTTCTCCCGCGTAAAATTGGAGGTTTCTTGGCGACGTTTCGACGAAGTCTCATTCGTCATCTTCAGGCTGGTGTTCTCGGCTTCGTGCTTCCAGGAGCAATGTGAGATCGCAGCCGTCTCTTCCTTTTAACTGCTAGTGGGGGTGTGAGTTGATTGGGTGGGAACTTGGCTGTGTTCTGATTGGGTGGAGGTGTGTTCTGATTGGTTAGGGGCTTGGCTGTGCTCTGATTGGCTGGGGGGTTGGTTGTGCTCTGATTGGCTGGGGGTGTGTTCTGTTTGGGTGGGGGCTTGGTTGTGCTCAGCTTAGTCTGAGTTGCAGGGGGATTTGAGCTGGTGAGCTGCGTTGTTGTTGTTTGGCTTCGTGTTTGTGGCCGTGCGAGCTCTTCATGGTGGGTGTCAGTGTGCTTCATGTATGGATTGGAGGGATTTAAAGTGGCTAATGATGCAGCTGCGGTCTGGCTTCTGGTCCTTGGTCGTGGCTCATTATCAGTGTGGGTTTGAGTCTGCTTTCTGCGTGGATGTGTGGCGGTGACATCCTGTGTGGCTCTCGTGAGTGTGGGTCTGGTGTCATTCGTCGTGTTAGGGACTCGTTTGTCAATAAGGGCGGGTTTCCAAATGGCTGGTAGGCGGGAGGTATCGTCTCGTTTGTTCATGCTGTGTGGGCGTTTTTCTATCTCGATGGCTTCTCTGATTATTCTGTTGTTAAAGTGTTCAGTTTTGGCGATAGTTCTGGTCTTTTTAAAGTCAATATCATGTCCTGTGGCTTTAAGGTGTTGGACCAGGGAAGAAGTTGGTTCCTCTTTTCTGACTGAGTTCTTGTGTTCTTCTATGCGTGCACTTATTCGTCTGTTGGTTTGTCCGATGTATGTGGTGGGGCAGGCGGTGCATGGGATTTCATATACTCCTTGATTTTCTAACTCAATTTTGTCTTTGGGGTTCCTTAGGATGGTGGATATTTTTCAGTTTGTGTAGAATGCTGTCTTGATGTTATGTTTGTGGAGGATTTTGCTTAAAGCCAAACAACAACAACGCAGCTCACCAGCTCAAATCCCCCTGCAACTCAGACTAAGCTGAGCACAACCAAGCCCCCACCCAAACAGAACACACCCCCAGCCAATCAGAGCACAACCAACCCCCCAGCCAATCAGAGCACAGCCAAGCCCCTAACCAATCAGAACACACCTCCACCCAATCAGAACACAGCCAAGTTCCCACCCAATCAACTCACACCCCCACTAGCAGTTAAAAGGAAGAGACAGCTGCGATCTCGCATTGCTCCTGGAAGCACGAAGCCGAGAACACCAGCCTGAAGATGACGAATGAGACTTCGTCGAAACGTCGCCAAGAAACCTCCAATTTTACGCGGGAGAAAACCCGAATAACCAAAGACCTACATACAAACACCCGCGAAAACCTCAGAAAACATATATATATATATATATATAATTTTCATGCTGGTTTGTTAAGCATGTGTCACAGCAATACAAATGTGCAAACATTCTATTAGCAGTCTTTGTATCTTCAATACAGAATTAGTATACAACTGCTTCAAGTTCACATGATTTCTAAATTTCTCAGCTAATTATTTATAAAACTCCAGTAACTTACTGGAGAGGCAATGAATTAAGCTGCAAATTGTCCTCTTCAGTCTGGGTTGATATCTCTTCTGCTCTGTTATCCATTCTCCCAGATCTGCATCATCAATCTTCACCAATAAAGCAACAGAAATATGACTGGTAGCTGTTCTAAAAGCAACATAAAAAGTCCAACAGTGACTTTCAGAAGAAGAGTAACCTACCATGAAACCAACTTGACTTAATGATTTCATATCCCATTTGAAATGAAATCTTCATTTCATTTAAGATGAAATCTTCAGCCCAAACAACATGAAGTATCAATATTTTTCAAAATATATTCCTAAATATTTTTTCCTTTCATGTAAATGCTTTATGGTTGATTTGGAGCTACATTTTGAATATATCCAAACTACAACAGTTTCTGCAGAAAAGAATAGGGGGGAAAAGTAAAAATGGTTTTAGGAAAAATTTAACACCACAGACAGATTTGTTACATAATACAAACTAAAAGGGAGTTCAAACTTCTGAATCTGACATTTATTATTTTCCTATTTTGAATCTATACAATTGAATATAGTAATTATGCATTCATTTGTTTAAATGTCTCTTTCATGTATATGACTGCGCAAATCACAAATTGCAACCCTGCCAACTAGCATAGACTAAAACCAAAAACAGCAATAAAAAAGAAAAACCGACCACAAAAGAAATATAACCTAACTGAGGCCCACGTGCAGTTTCTATTCTCAATACAGATAGACTCATTAGACATAATGGGCTAATCTGAAGCTCAGAGTGTGTGTTGTCCCAGAGGTTGATACTGTTAGGATATGGTATAAGTCTAACAAGTTGTCCAGGCAATATATGTGTTCTATCACTTTAAATGTATTCTGTAACTTTAAGATGTAATGCTGAGTAATTGTACTGCTGAGTCATTGTAATGACTAATGACTGCTGACTGCAATTATCCTAATTGTACTGTTGAATCATTGCACTGCTGACTTCACTTATCTTAAGTGGATAATTACTAGTGTAAACTCTATATAAGGAGAGACCCGAGCTATAGTCATTTTTGCTTGACTTATTGCTTGACTGGTTGGAACTGTTACTGTCGTGTGTGAAGACGTGGATGGATATGCTACCATCGTGATTTGTTACCAGCATTGAATTGCTGTTTATTACCTACTGCTGTCTGTATGATAAGAGGATAACTGTAACTCTGTAACTTCGGATTGATTTGAATGGCTAAAGACTTGGATTGATTAAAAAGACTATGCAATTGTTTTTCGCTACAAAGTAAAAGCTTTGTTAAACCAGTTTGTATGTATTGTATTCATTGCTCTCAGTACCGTTTCTCTGTGCACTTGCTCTGCTGATTGGTTAACACACCAATATCCTTAACAGATACTACAAAATGCATACA